GCTTTGCTTGTGACATTTACATTAATTTGGTGGAAGTTTGTTAAAACGTAGAACAAATTTACCCAGAAATAACACATTATTAAACTTGTAATTATTATCAAAACTGATGGTAACGKCTTGTGGTGTATTGGAAACATAAAACCAATACAGGATGTGTCAGAACTCGCGCCCCAGAGAAAAATTTCAAATAAGATATTGTATATGTTTTTTTGTACAAAAATTTTGCAAATAAAAGCCACAAATAACAACAGAGTTACAATTAAGGATACAGCTTCCTTGTTTTCTCTTCTAATAGCCTGTAGCAAAAAAACAGAAATAGAGTCAAGGTGCAAAATTTAATCTCTAATAACTTCGAAATTTTTATAGATAGAATTTTTTAAACATTTTTCCATGTTCCTGTACCTTACATGGCATTTTTCTCTGGGGTGCGAGTTCTGAAGCACCCTGTATTTTGAATAGGTTTATTACTAGCGCTTTATTGTTTTTACAACAGTTGAGAATAAATACATTTACTTAACACACATTTTGTAAATTTTCTGTAATTAATTATACAAAACAATTATCACATTAATTTTAAAGGAAATTCTGTTGCAGTGCTAAACGGCAATTTAATATAAATACGCAGCTCAGCTGATAGCTACACTACATATAATCTTGTATAAATATGATTTTTAATTAGTTCTGCTAACTGTACAAACACAACACGACGGAACTTCGAATAGGTCAAACACGAACTTGTCGTCGTCCCCTAAAACCATCAATCTCTTGTGGATATACTTTTGCTTACAATAAGAGGTGTACCCTGTCGGAAAATTGCTGCTGAATTTACATTTTCCATTATTCCTAAAACCACCAAATTACTAAAGCAGTTCTTAACGAGCTTTCCTGCAAACTTACACGCACGTTTCAAATACAATTCCTTGTTTGTGCCCTTCCACATTGACAATCACCTTTTCCACTTTCTTAGTATTGTTGGCTTTCTCRGGATAGATTGTATGAACTGTTGTTTCACACAGTGACATTTCGTCTGTATTAAATCTATTATCTAAATTTACGACTTCTTCACTTGTTTCAAAATATCCGTTCATGTCGTGAGATCTACTTAGGATTTTTTTAATTTGTTCTTTTGGGTAACCGGCAACGTTGTAGCATAGGCCGTGGTCGCAAGTCGGTTTTTCAGGATACACAATTGGAGTGTCTTCTCCTGAAAATTTACTATTAATAATTTCATTTGCAAGTTTTGAACTGGGTACCTTGTTGTCGACTGCTTGAGCTTCTTGCCTCTAAGTGCATTTGCGCAATTGTTTCATTTGTGGTTTCTGAATATTGATTTCTGGTAGATGTATCACTGATGTGTGGTCTTGCTCGTGGTCTTGCGGTAGGTCTGTTGTAATAGTCTGTGAATGCAGCAAAGGGAGACATCTGAAAGGAAAAACATATTACATACCAGAAACAATTTCCATTTAAGCGTTCTCCATAACATTTTACATAGTTTAAACCAAATTGAAGAGATTGGCAAATCAGTCCGTTTTTTTTAATAAATCCTAGAAGAAAATAATCTCGCTTTTCTCAAAAACGGTGAGTCATACAAAAATAACACAAAAGACATTTTTTGAAGAAAATTAGCCAATAAATACAAATCTGCAAAAAAAATCGAAAAACTTCTTCCAAACTAAAATTTTACATCCCAAATAGATTGACCCCAGTGGCTCCGCCCCTCTAATTAGGGTTCACAATTTTTGATACTACYAATAAATACAACGCCAAAAAATGACTCCAAATGCAAACTTTTGTAAATTCAGTTACTGAGATAAATGGGGGTCTCTAACTCCCTCAGGACATATTTTGAGCTAGGGAACCGCCCCCTAAAATCTTTCAACGTTACAGGACACCCTGTAAAACAAAATTTGCTTAGTGATAAAATGATGAGAATTAAATAATTTTCCTAAAGGATTATTATTATATAATTTTAATTAATGTTTTTTGCTGAGTCACTTAAAGAGTAATTTAGCCCTGTGTTAAAAATGTAATTCAAAAAATCGTTTAAAAACTTTTAATAACTTTGTTTTGAACCTATTATGCGAAATACACAATTTTTTTGATAATTAAGTTGAAGTTTTAAATGATTGCAAGTTTTTTTTAAATAAAGGATTAACGAAATGTAAACATAACATCTAAATRTAATTTCGTTTATAAACTGGACAAATTCATTACTAAAATTAATAATACACCCAATAAACAAAAAATAATTTACAAGAAAACTGTGTTTATGTTAGATTGTGCTAAAAATAATAACGCAATCTAAAATTACTAGCGTTTTATAAGAATCTTGTGGCGCTAATTACACACTAGAGACATGCAGTAACAATTAATAAAACAATATGAGAGTAGGTTTTTACGCACATACCGGAAAATGGAAAAAAACCTCATGAAAATCTAATTTTTTTTCACCTGTTTCATCAACAATAAACATTTTACTTTACTCTAATTCCTTAATTGTATAAATTTTTGAGTGAGATGAATCAGGAAAAACTAAAAAACTTAAACTATACCTACAAATTATACATGAAAATAATTTTTTGAAAAAAATGCTGTATACACTTGAATATTTCTTCAGCGATTGACGTCACAGACTTAATTTTTCTGAATAACAAGTAGTAAATCAATTTCCGACCGGTTAGAAATTTATGGTTACAATAAATTAAAAAAGGGCGTATTTTATACGAGTGAATATTATTAGAAATAATACACTTATTAACGGTTTTCCCGTTCTTGGATAGAAAAACCAGGAAAGAAAAATCGTACTATATATCGTAGATAATTCAGGTAGATAACCTACAGTTCGCGGAAATCCCTAAGATATGAGCCTATGACTTTGTTTGCTAATAAAAAAGTGTAGCTTTCAATCTGTTAAAGATGACTGAACAAACACAATTTCACAGTTTATCAAAATTTGGGAATCCAGATCCTCTTTATTTAATGCTTAGCCGAACGCAAAAATAATTTAACGTTTGGTTTATCATGGAATTCTAGTACACTTAACACATTTCGTTATTATGCAAGTTATGACATCACAGTTGAAATGCTTTAAACTGAAAAATACGACAAAAAGGTGTTTCTCTAGGAGGATTGTAATTTGTTAGAAGGATGAAGGAAAGCAGGTGGGTTGTAATTCCAATAAAAAGTACAACATCATTTGCAGTTTCTTCTTTATCCACCGTTGTAGCCATCCTTGAGAACATAAAAACAAAGAGTAAAATTGCAACACGTTACAGAACGAATTACATTTGCTYTCGTATTAAACCTAATTCATTAAATTTTTTCACGAACGAGAGGAGAAATTGTTTTTCATGCGTTTTTCGTTTTAATTGAGGCATTTGAGGGTGGCATAATCGAATTACTGCTTAGTAAAAGCTCTC